CGGTGTAAAGTGACACAGGTAAGACCCCCAAAGCACATATAATGAAGTTAAAATTTAACATCTTATTTGTTTTCTCCGTTTACTCATTTTTAGTTTTGGTTTTCATTTTTTCCTGATTTCTTCTGGAGTGAGATTTTCCTATTTTGTTATTGTTCGGGTTGGGGGTTTTTGTGGAGTTTTTTGTTAGAATTTTTCTTTATATGAAACCTAGGAGGCGTAAATCTAAAGACGGTAACTAGATTAATAGTTTCTTAAGAGTTATGGCAGGGAGGTTTTAAGGGAAAATGGAACACCAATAATTACCAGTACAAAAATGAAGAAAATATTCTAAAGTTGATTGTGGTAATGACTGCACAATTATTTAATATATTCAAATCATTAAAGTATATGGTATGTGAATTATGTATCTGTAAAAGTGTTAAAATAAAAAAAAATTATCAGTGTCACAGTGAAAGTCAGTATATGCAATTCTTTTATTAGAGACAAATAATTTGATTCACACAACTTTTTTTTTATAGCTGTTTCTTGTTGAGTTTTTTTTTTCCATCGTCATCACATTTACTACATGTATTGGGTGACTACATTATCTTCACATGCCCGTTAGCTAAAAATAATTCCTATGCAGCATGCTTATGTTAAGAAATACTTATATTCTTATTAGCATTACTATAAAACTGTTTACTAATATCTTTGGGACAAAGAAAATATTTACATATAATTCCTATATCCTTCAGGTTATTCTATATTAATCTTCTGATAGCTACCAAGATAAGGATCTTATGAACTTATGAATCCTTCCATACTTACATAAGATTTCTCTCCAGTATGAGTTTTTTTTATGTAGAATGAAGGATGTACTTAAAGGAACGCCTACAGCTACTAAACAATGGGAATTCAAAAAGTTCATGAAAAATCTTCATTTGCTTTTCATTCCACTTGTACACAACTTTTTGAAGACCCCATAGATCACAGGACTTTTCTCTTGTTTGACTTTTACATGCTTTACAAGGAATCCATATTGTATAATATATAGAGTCCTAGTGGTGTTCAAAGGTTAAGTGCTTGTCTGCCAATCGAAAGGTGAGTGGTTTGAACCCACCAGCTGCTCCACAAGAGAAAAGCCCTGGCAATCTGCTCCCATAAAGAGTACAGCCTAGGACGCCCCACAGGTTAAGTTCTGTCCTACAAGCTTGCTATAACAGGAAATTGACGCAGCACACAATATACACAACACGTGACTTCACTGTGATGAATAAGATCGGTACTATTTCTAAAGGTCTTCTCATATTCACTGCATTCACAGAACATTTCTCCAATATATATATACTGACGGTGAATCAGACAGACCCTATAGCTGGTTATTACAACAAATAACACCTTCCTATTCTTACATATTAAGTAATACACATGGCATCAAGGTTGTTCCATACTCACTACACTGTGTTACTGGATTTCTTTGCATAATGTATTCTCTGATGGACAGTAAGATTGGAGCCTTTACTAAAAGCTTTCCCACATTCATTACATTTATATGGCTTTTCTCCAGTATGAATTCTCTGATGTACAGTGAGGTTTGAACTATAGCTGAAGGTCTTTCCACATTCAAAACATTCATATGGTTTCTCTCCAGTATGAAGTCTATGATGTTGAAACAGGGATGACTTATGACTAAAAGCTTTCCCACATATACTACATTCAAAAGGTTTCAATCTAATGTGATTTCTCATATGTAAATCCAATGATTCAAGCTGGTTAAAGGATTTCTTGCATTTTTGACATTCAAAGGGTTTTTCTTCAGTATGAATACTCTGATGCTGAATAAGATATGAGAGGGTACTAAAGATTTTCAGGCATTTGTTGCATTCATATTGTCTTTCTACAGTATGAATCCTTTGATGTCGAGTAAGATGTGAACTACAGTAAAAGGCTTTCCCACACTCACCACATTCATATGGTTTCTCTCCAGTATGAATTTTCTGGTGGTGAGCAAGAGATGACCTATGAATGAAGGCCTTCCCACATAAAGGACATTCATAGAGTTTTTCTTGAGTATGAATTCTCAGATGTTCAATGAGATGTGAAACACGACTAAAATACTTCCCACATGCCATACATCCATATGGTTTATCTCTGGTATGAATGCTTTGATGATTAGTAAGTGAGGAGATGTGGCTAAAGGCCTTCCCACATTCAATACACTTATATGGTTTCTCTCCACTATGACTTGTTTGATGTCGAGCAAGGGATGAACCATGGCTGAAAGTCTTTGCACATTCACAACACTCATAGGGTTTCTCTCCAGAATGAATTCTCTGATGGCGATTAAGGATTGACTGTTTGCCAAAGGCTTTTCCACAATTACTGCATGCATAAATTTTCTCACTATTCCAAGACTGGTGAAGGCCAAGAGATGTGCTTTCGCTGAAGGCTCCCATACTTTCATTAGAATTCAAAAGTTCCACTCCATCATTCATTTCCTCGCTTTTTATAAGTAACTTATTTTGTAAGCTTTTCTTAGGTATATCATACTTGTGTGACTTCCCTTCAACAGAAATTAACTGGGGCTCAGAAAGAATAGAGGTTAAATGAAAAATGCTTTCAAACATATTGTAATTGTAAACACTTTCGCCAGGAGGGCTTTCTCGAAAATTGAGGGTGACAGGTCTAAAATGTTCTACCTGATTTCCATCTATCCCTTCCCACGTCCCTCTATATTCACAGTCATTGTTAAAATTTGAATATTCAGGATCTTCTTTTATAATTTTTTCTATTATTACCCTTTGGGGTGAATCTTCATAAATATGCTCCTCTGATGATAATTCTTTGTCTTTCTGCTTTGATTCCCAATCTGAAACATATCAAGAAAATAAACATTGCTTTTTCTGACCTTCATGGAGAAATAACTTTTATGGTAGAAATTGGGAGAATTGGACAAAAAGAAAAAGTCTTTCCAAAGCACATGACAGCTCAATGATTTCTGGAAAATGCTTAAGTGAAGCACAGTGTAGAAAGCTCACAGGGTCAGAGAGTGATAAAAGAAGAGTTTAATATAAGCAATTAATATATGGGGAGAAAAAATATAAGAAAAACTATATAAATCACATTCTAAATTTTAAACTATCATTTTGTGGCTATATTGATATGAAAGGCCACACTTTTGTCTTATAGCTTTGATTCTTCAAACATTACTTAATCTCAATGCTGCCAGATTTACATGCTTAAAACATGTAATTTATAGCTCGTCTCTAAACAGCAATAACTGAAGTGGATGATAACAACATAATCTAAATGCTTTTTAGTTCTTACAGGTATTTAGGCTGAGTTTATTTAGGGTCTGTGTGAAATCATATGATTCTTAACATTGGACATTTAAACTAAAAACAAAAATAAAACAAAATAACTCCTTTCTGTCAACAGTAATAGAAATAGTGATACCATGAGGATAGGGGGAAGGTGAGGGAGAAAGAGGAAGAAATAGGAACCGATCACAATGATCGAGGTATATCCCCCCCACCCACCCCTCCAGAGGGACGAACAACAGAAATGTGGGTGAAGGAAGACAGTGAACGGTATAAGATATGAAAATAATAATAACTTATAATTGATCAAGGGTTGATTAGGGTAGGAGGTTGGGAGAGGGAGGGAAAAAACAAGAGCTGATACCAAGGGCTCAAGTAGAAAGAAAATATTTTTTAAATGATGATGGCAACATATACACAAATGTGTTTGATACAATTGATGTATGGATTGTTATATGAGTTGCAAGAGCCTCCAATAAAATAATATATAAAAAACACACAAAACAAAAACAGAAAGAAAACACATCTCTGTCATTCAGTCCATTCCAACGCAGAGTGACCCTACTGGACAGGGCAGAACTGCCCTTGTGGGTTTCTGAGACTCTAACTTGTGATGGGAGTGGAACTTTCATCTTTCTCCCTCCAAGTGGCTGGTGGTTTTCCCAGTGCTGCCCTTGCAGTCCGCAGCCCAATGTGTGACCCACTGCACTACCAGGGCTCCTTGTATTGGACATCAGAAAAAATATTAGTTTAGGAAACTTTCTTAAATGTTCTTTACTTCTAATACTATTCATGTTCATATTTGATCTATGAAGCTTAACTTTAGAAGAAAAATGGTTTTCCAGCTAATTGACAGCTTTTCTTTTCTTTTCTTTTTAACATTTTATTAGGGGCTCATACAACACTGTTATCCCAATCCATACACACATCAATTGTGTAAAGCGCATTTGTACATCGTTTTTCAAAACAATTTCTCTCCACTTAAACCCCCAACATTAGGTCCTCATTTTCCCCCTCCCTCCCGGCTCCCCGCTCCCTCATGAGCCCTTGATAGTTTATAAATGGGTATTTTGTCATATCTTGCCCTGTCCGACATCTCCCTTCACCCACTTTTCGGTTGTCTGTCCCCCAGGGAGGAGGTCACACACAGTTCCATGTAATCGGTTCCCTCTTTCCTACCCATTCTCCCTTTACCCTCCCTGTTTTGCCACTCACACCACTGGTCCTATAGGGCTCATCCGTCCTGGATTCCCTGTATTTTCAGTTCCTATCTGTACCAGTGTACCTCCTCTGGTCTAGCCAGACTTGCAAGATCGACAGCTTTTCTTGGCCTAAAGTCATCAATTAATTTTTCCTTAAGTGGGTTTAAAATTAATTTACGATATTTTGTTTCTAATAACAATTTGAATTACAATGATGGCAAACAGCTCTACCTTCAATGGCATAAGCAACCCACATAGCTTATAAGTGAGGATGGAGGAATAATCCTTTGGAAATCTAAGCCGAAAATTCCTCAATTTCCTTTATATCTGGAATCTTTGAAAATAGTATACTTATCATATCATAAAATGTGTCGTATACCTCCACATTCTCTACAAGTTTTTTTTTTACTTCAAAGCTTCCTTGGTTTGATTCACCATGACTCACCTGTGAAGGAATCTTGGGACAGTCTGTCCGCCAGCATCCAGGGTTCTTTCCCTTCCTCCAGTAAGGTGATCACATATGGCTTAGGTATGGGAAGACCTGCTTGTAGGGAAAAAAAAGAAAAGGAAATTATGTAAGCTGTGATAAGAGGGCATCACAGTAAGAACCAGAGGAAGAGTTAATGACTGTTTACTAAAATGGGAAGGTAAGTTTTAAGCAAGGCACAGAGTTAAACATTTACTTGGACACAGAACAGAATTCAGCCATTTAGTTACGAGGGCTCTCAGCAATTCAGAGTAGCAGAAGAAAGACCTTCCCTATTGGGGGTAAAGGGAAGATATCCTTACCTAGAGAGACCAGGTTCTCATAATTCTGGACCATCACATCCTTGTATAAATCTCTCTGAGCAGAATCTAGCCACCCCCACTCTTCATGAGAGAAGTCTATGGCCACATCACTAAATGTAACCTGAAATGGCAAACAAATTTGAGGGCTCAACCATGGCCCGGGCCTCTTATGTCACTAAACAAGGAATAAAATTACTCTGGTTGTGGGAAAAAAGCCAACAAGAATCAGCAATTAGAAAAAGAATAATAAATTTGATCTAAGTAATAACTAGAAATATATGTGCTTGACATTGCTATACAATAAGAGTGAGACAAATACATGAGCTTTGCTTCAGGAAAGTTACTGTTATCAAAGGGAACAGAATTATATAAATTCCAAAAAGTCAGCAGTCACCATTTGGTAGTATATAGTCAAGTTCTGAGTTGTATCTTTTATGGTTGAAGTGCTAGATAAGCAATAAAAATGGTGTTAAATCATTTGTTTTCTAAAGAGATGATCACTATGATCTACAAGGGGAAAGGAAAGAAAGAACAATCCATAGGTTCATAAAGAAGACATCTATCTTGACAGATATACAAATAATTAATTTATAAAGAAAATATACACATAATTGTGGTGTGTACTTAAACCTTGTATCAGTAGTCATTTGAGAATTAAAATAATTTGAGACTCCTGGGAAAAAACACTAAAGGATTGTTCCAGGCAATACAGTCCAAAGTAGGATCTTAACATAAGAGCAAAAAATATAAGAATAGGCACCTTTCATGGAAAATATTTTAAAGGAATATTTACTGATAAGTCTAGCAATTTCTTCTTCTCAAGAGTACTCACAAGACTACAGTATTACATAAGATAGCAAAATCTCTTTTAAGAAGCTTAAACATTCTATAGCAGGTTACACGTGTGTGCATTCATAGGTGCATCTAAAATGGCATTGCAATTATATTTCATTGGCGAGATAGACATTTCTTGGATGTGGTGAATTTTTCTCCAAGAGTAGTTGACTTAATACCCTATTACTTTATTTGGAAATTTTTCACATACAGTTTTACTGATATTGGTCTTTAGTTATAACAGGGAGGTGGGGGTGGGGGTCTGTGTCAGGTATTGGGGAAATAAATAAAAATAAATAAAATCTCCTGCCAATGTAGAAAATCCTCTCCACCAAGTATAGAACATTTTACTACTGTAAAAGCATTAGCCCAACCATGAATTTCACATGCCAACTGCTAATGAGATTACAAAGACAAAAAGAAACGTCACCTTCTACGTATATACACGTTCTCGAATTAATGATAAGCTATTATCAAGTAAGAGAACTTGATACCACCATTTGCTACATAGAGGTCATTCTGAAGTCACCTGGAAGTTAGGGTGGTCACCTCTGTTCGTTCATTGCCCTTATCTAAAGGAAATATAAAACTGCTCATGTCTTACAACAAGCAGATAGTTAAAACTTGGAGCCAAGAACTAAGGCTAACTCCTAGAGACGGGGAAAAAGGTGCTATTTTCCTGGATCTTTGCATTTCAAAAGGATAGTGGTAAGCTATATGTCCAGCAAGAGGCTTACTTCATTTTTTAAATCATTTATATACATCTCAAAGAGCAGAGGAAGGATTCACAATTAAGTTTTCTTAAAGAAATGCTCTAAGAAACCCACTGCCATTGAATCAATTCTGACTTATGGAGACTACATACTACCAAATACAACCAAATTCCATCGGGTGCGCGCGAGCGTGTGTGTGTGTGTGTGTGTGTGTGTGTGTATGTGTGTGTGTGTGTGTGTAGTCTTGTCTTTACAGATGTGTGTGTGTGTGTGTATGTAGTCTTGTCTTTACAGGCATAGAACAACAGGAATTCTTCAGCAGTACTACTCTGTGGGTTCAAACCAACAACCTTTGGTTTAGGAGTCAAGCACACATTGTCTGTGCCATTCAGAGACCTGCTCTAAGAAATCAAACCCCACGCCCACTAACTCCAAGTATCTATGACTGTAAATCTTTATGCTGCCAGGGAGCAGTTGGTGGTTATGAACTACCAACCTTGTGATTAGTAGTTGAATGCTTAAGGGAGGGAGGAAAAACTCTTTCCCTTTTGGCATTAGGGAAAATTTATTTTCATATTTGGAATTACTCTTACATAGATATTAGAGTTATACTAGCTCCATTAAATGAATTAATAATCCTTCCATCTTTGCCTACTTTCCACAAAGCTTTTAAAACAACTGTCTTTACAAATATCAACTGATAAATCAAAAATAAAATGATTATATCAAACGTAGAAAGCACTAAATTCTACTTCACCAATGTGCAGATACTTCATATTTTGTTTTCAACATATTCTTAATGGCTGCCATCCTATTAATAGCCTGCAGAATAAAAACCACAAATCACGTGAAAAGAAACTCTTTGTTCCTTCTTTAGAAGAGGGTTCCTGAACTTTGGCACTATTCGTATTTTGGGTCCAGGGTAATTGTCGTGGGGAGCTGTCCTGTACTAACATTACAGGACACTTCGCAGTGTCCCTGGCCTCATCCACTAGATGCCAGTAGCAGCTCTTCCCATTAGGAGACCACAATTGTTTCTAGAACTTGCCAAATGTGTACTACAGGGGAAAGAGGAGGGTAAAGTGTCCCTGTTGAACAACTATTGCTTTTTTTAAAAATTATTGTTTGTTTTTTAATTATTGTTCTTCAAACAACTACCTTAAGTCTCTCTATGGACACTCACAATGTTCCCTTAGGTCAGCATCATTTCACTCCACCTCTAAGACTTCGGAGCTCTAACCTAGCTTTCCTGGGGACACTTCAGATATCTCTTCCCCATTGCCTTTGCTGCCTGCCCTAAATCATTTAGGATACCTAACTGTCCTAGCATTTATTTAATTTGTGTGTGTGTGTGTGTGCTCTGAAGACTTTCCTACCACTTCTTCATTGTTCAAATATGGTAATTATTAGCCATATTTGGTTATATAACTTTAAGTTCATTCAATTCCTCAGTTACTCTAACCAGAATTCAACATGTGTGGTTGGTGGCTGTGACACTGGACAACACACACAAAGACCATTTCCACCCTTGTAGGAAGTTTTCCTACACAACACTGTACTGGATCATGAAGCCCTGTATCTCAGTATATACCTAACCCACGTAAGGCTCTTCCTAACAGGTACTTCATGATCCTTAGAAAATAAAGAAGTACATGATTTAGGAGTTTACTTTAGCTTTTACTTTAAAAACAGCAGCAGCAAAATCAAATTATTTCTTCTAGTTATCTAATTTTTTTCCCAAGAAGCCAGAATTTGTTCAACATATACACATGCAATTCATGTCGTCTCCTGGGCAAGCTTTCTTCCCTATCAGTTGGTAATAATTCATTTATCTGTTCAGCAGCTATTTACTGAGCACAAGCATCTGCTATTTATTAGAGGACAAAATGGCAGTGATAGCATAAAAACCTGCACGTCTGTATTTTTTTTTTTAGAAAAAAGAAATCAAGGATAACTCCAAATAACATCTGACCCGAGCAACTGGAAAAACAAACCATTCATCAAAACCACATTATATAAGTTGGATAATCATAAAGCAGATAACCTCAAATTCCAAGTTTGCATTTTAAGCTGTACTAAATTATTATTGGCTCCACAGAGACTTCTAGCAGAAAAATAAGAAATTTTTTCCATCTGTGGCAAAAGAGTACTAAGGGACGAGAACAGTATGTTGGAACTCTCCTATGATCTCATCCTTTGTTATAACAAAAGGAATTATAGATCCCATCCCTAAATGAACTTTGTTAACCTGGAAACTAGCAGAAGCAGGGCAAACCCTCCTGAGCCCTGATAAGAAAATATTCAAGAAGATTTGGGGTGATGCTAAACTCACCTGAGACATGACTTTGCTAGTTAGCCAGCCAACACAGTCCTCTTTCCGGTCTCGGGTCTTAAAGCAGAGCAGTGTCCTGCAATGGCAGAGGCAGAGCGGGGGGGAAAAAGCAGATTGACCTTGCAACTTGGTGACACCCCAGTAAGAAAAGGCATCGGAGGAAACCACTCTTTGTGGGTATAGGGGCTTCCTGGGCGTGGGTTTAGCATGTACCAGGTTGCTTTCTACGGAGCCAAACTTACAAAGCAATAGTAATGACAATGCACGGTGGGCCTTCTACATTATTTCCCGTTTTTTCTTTTCTAATGGTGAGAAAACTGAAACTGAGCCAGAAGGAAGCCGATTGGGAACCGTCAGCGTCAGAACTGGAGTAACACGAAAAACAACTGAGAGATGACAGACAGGACGTTCGCTCGAAGTGTGTCCTGCGTATACAGAGCCCGGGTTTCCTTTTCACCACAGTTCAACGAGGTTAAGTACCACCCCCCTTTTACAGAGCCGAGGTTACGTACCACCCCCCTTTTACAGAGCCGAGGTTAAGTACCACCCCCCTTTTACAGAGCCGAGGTTAAGTTCCACCCCCCTTTTACAGAGCCGAGGTTAAGTTCCACCCCCCTTTTACAGAGCCGAGGTTAAGTACCACCCCCCTTTTACAGAGCCGAGGTTACGTACCAGCCCCCTTTTACAGAACCGAAGTTAAGGACCACCCCCCTTTTACAGAGCCGGGGTTAAGTACCACCCTCCCCCCTTTTACAGAACCAAGGTTAAGTACCACCCCCCCTTTTACAGAACCGTCCGCGGAGGCCGCGGAAGGCCCGCCCGCCCGCAGGGCAGCCCTTGACCGTGCACAGCGGCCCGGAGCCGGGCGGGGCCTCCCCGCGAGCTGCGCGCGTCCGGCGCCAGCGTCGCCGTACCTGAGGCGCGCGGCCGCCGGGGAGCGGACAATGGCCGCGCCGCTCAGCGTCCTCCCGGAGCCGCCGCCAGGCCTGGGACTGCGGCGCCGTGGGACGAGAGCCGCCCTGACGACGAGGCTGCATGTCCCAGACTCTTCCGCGTCCTGGACAAAAGTTACTGCCTCCGGGAACAACGGCCGCCCCGCCGGAAAACCACACTTCCCAGCAGCCTCTGCGGTCGCGAGTTCAACAACAAACTGTCCGGGCTTTTCAGACGACCGGACCTCCCGGAGCCTTCGTCGCCAGGTGGTCCACTAAAGCACCCCGGGGACGTGTCGGTAAGACAAGCGTTGTCTTCGGAGGGGCCAGACCTTCAGAGCTACAGCAGCGCTCTTCTTGCGTGAGGACAATGGTTCCCCAGTCAGAAACTACATTTCCCAGAATGCTCAGGTGCGTGTGACTAGCTCTTCCAGGTCACTCGTACGCTGACAAGCCCCCCCCCCCCGCCCCCGCCCCAAAAAAGGATTGTTGTATTGCTGATAGTGTCAAATGAACGTTCCTGTAGGGTAGCTTCACACTAGGTAATTAGAAACCCACTTACTTTATGTCACTTGTACTCTATGAGACTTTATTTTTTAATCATTTTATTAGGGGCTCTTACAGCTCTTTTAACAATCCATACATCCATTGTGTCAAGAACATTGGTACATATGTTCCTGCCATCCTTTTCAAAACATTTTCCTTCTACTTGAGCCCTTGGTATCAGCTCATTTTTTTCCCGCCCTCCTCTACCCTCCCACCCTCATGAACCTTTGATAAATTATTTTCATATCTTACACCATCCACTGTCTCCCTTCACCCGTATTGTGTTCTTTGTCACCCTGGGAGGGGGTGTTAGACATCAATCATTGCGATCAGTTCCTCCTTTCTCCGTCCACCTTCCCCTACTCTCTTGGTATCGCTACTCTCATTGTTCCTGAGGGGTTATCTGTCCTGGATTCCGTGTGTTGAGAGCTCTTATCTGTGCCAGTGCACATGCTCCAGTCTAGCTGGATTTGTAAGGTAGAACTGGGGTCATGATAGTGGGAGTGAGAAAGCAATAATGAACTAGAGCAATGTTGTATGTTTCATCAGTGCTATACTGAACCCTGGCTCATCCCCTCCTTGTGACCCTTCTGTGAGGGGATGTCCAATTGTCTACAGATGATCCCCCTCTCATTTGCGTTGCTGTTTGTTTTGGATCTTCTGATGTCTGATACCTGATGCTGTTGACACCTTATGATCACACAGGCTGGTGTGCTTCTTCCAGGTGGCCTTGGTTGCTTCTCAGCTAGATGGCCACTTGTTTATCTTCAAGCCTTTAAGACCCCACATGCTATATCTTTTTTTTTTTTGGCCTTTTAATAGCCAGGCACCATCAGATTTCTTCACTACATTTGCTTATGCATCCATTTTGTCTTCAGCGATTGTGTCGGGAAGATGAATATCACAGAATGCCAGATTATTAGAACAAAGAGTTCTTGCATTGAGGGAGGGCTTGAGTAAGAGGCCAAATGTCCATCTGCTACCTTAATACTTAATATATAAATATGTATATGTAGACCTATGTCCCTATCATTATATATAAATATATTTATATATATACATGCCTGTATTTATACTTCTAAAAATGTCCTTTGCCTCCTAGTTCTTTACTCTATCTACTCTTACTTTCCTCTTGTCCCACTATTGTGTTTGACCTTCATTCAGCTTTCAGTAATTCCTCTGGCTACATTGCACTTGATCAAGCCCCACCAGGCATTCTACACCCTCCTCACCATCGACTTTAGATCATCTGTTGTTCCTTGTTCCTGAGTTTGTTGGCTCCCCACTTCCTTCCCACCCCACCACCCACCTTCCCCTCACCCATGTACCCCTTGAACCATCAGTCACATTTTTTTCTCCTCAGGATTGTTCATCCTGCCTGTCTTATATAGAGAGACATGAAAAAAAGAAGAAAAGCCTACAAATAGTTCTAGGTGTGTCTGTTGATCTTTATGAATATTTTCTGATTGAGTCTGATGAGGTGCCAAACCCTTGCCCTGAAATCTATTTTTGAGACTCCTTGGGGACTATTGCTTTGCTTCCCTTGCTGCTCTGTTACACTCCTTTCATGTTTCGTCCCCCGTGGAGGGTGGGGGTCAGACCAGGCACACTTCCCACACTGTGTCCCCCGTAGCGCTATGGGTCATCGAGGGATGCCATGTCTTGTGGAGTCGGCTCTATGGTCCTCTCTGTATTGGCTGCTCTGAGCAGGAATATCATCCTCAGGGCTTGGTTTTCTCTCTTTCTCTCTCTTTCCTTCCCTCTGGTTTACCGAGCAGATTAGCTTTCTGATAATCAATTTGCACACATTATGTTTCATGTCATTCAGTGCAATCCCATCAATCCAACATTTCTAATTCCACCTCTTCCCTGTTTCCTGTCGCTATTCCTCCTTTCTCAGCCTTTCTGACTTATTCTTTAGGTAAATGCTGTTCCTTTCATTCCAAATGGTTGATAATTCTAAGGTATGCTCACACATGTAATGTTATTACTGCTCTTTTAGACCTGTCCGTATCTTGGCTCCAAATTTAATCACAGGAGAAAGATCAGTTCCAGGACCAAAGGAAGACATAGCCTGGGAGGGTCCACCAGCCCCTATCAAACCAGCAAGCCTGGTCTCCTACATGACGTTCTGTTTTGTTACAACTTTGCCCTACTGTATCCAGCTCCATGGATTTCCAAAAGAACCACAAATGTGTCCTGGAAGAAGTACAGCCTTGCTCCCTAGAAGCAGGGATGGCGAGACTTCATGTCATGCACTTTGGACATGGTATCGGGGGAGACCCGTCCCTGGAAAAAAGATCTCATGCTCAATACAGTAGAGGGGCAACACGAAAAAGGAAAACCCTAGATGAGGTGGATTGACTCTGTGGCTGCAACAAGGGGCTCAAACACAGGAACAATTGAGAGGCCTGGGCCGTGTTTAGTTCTGTCTCTGTTTAGTCTCTGTGGGTTGGAATTGACGCAGTGGCAACTAAACAACAGTGTCATCCAGGACCTTCTATCCTAACTCCTTTCAGAGCAGGTGGAGACAGTGGACCCACCGCTCGTTCTCCTAGTCTCACGGTGGTGACTAATGCGTTCATAGTCCATTGGGCTCAACTGTGTTCATGCGTCTTCCATTTCCGTCATTCTTTCCTCCAGTCAGGGAGAGACCAGTAGTTGCTCCTTAGATGACTGCTCCCTAGCTTTTAAGAGTCCCTAGCTCTCACTACTCAGTAGGACGTAGATTTTGTGAACTATGTTTTGCCAATTGACTTTGGTATTATTCCTTAAGACTATTGTTCTAAGCCCCCAGATCCATTGACTCATTCCCTCCAGGTGCCTAGTCATGTTCACGAAGTCTCCATAAATGTGTCCCCTGTATGCTCCATTACATCCACAAATATGGTTGCAGAAAAAAATATTTATCCAGGTACAACTATCCTCTGTCAAATATATATAGATATCTTTAACTCTTTCTCACACTTGCTCAACCTGGTTGTCTATCCACCCAGGAATCAACTTTATTGTAGGATGGTGTATATAATTATAACACTTACCTCTGCTGCGTTTAATTAACACTTGCACTCCTCCCAGTCTCTTCTCTTGATTCCATCCTTCTTTGACAACTTCCCGTAGCGTATACTGTGCTCCCCTTCACTCAAGTTCTTAAAATCTTCTTGCCCCTCCCCTGAGAAGAATTTATTTCAAAGGATGGCACTGAATCTGCAGCTTCGGGAGAAGGATCTATCTGACCAGAGCACACAGGAGCAGATGACAGGGGAGGAGGAGAGACTGGAGCACATCCTGGCCCACCAGGCCTTGAGGACGATGACCCCAAATAGA